CCCCCCCCCCCCGCGCTCTCCACCCGACGCTACCAACCTCTTCACAACTCAGACAGGGTATTGTTAACGACCCTATTGGTGGAGCTGCAGTCAAGCTTTCCTTGGCATAACGCATGTAACCTAGCACTTCTCTCTTTAAATTGATCTCCAATGGATCTGTTCAACACATTGTTACGTAAACAAAATAACTCTATATCTGTCCAGATTTGTAAGCTTGGGTAATATCGCACTAAGCAATCCGCCATTTCCTGTTTAGTTTGCAACCTCTACCCAACATATGTTGTCTCCCGTCGTTTTCCTGGATTGCTCAGACCGAACCACAAAGTATCGCATAGCGGTTTGACACCGATCAGCTCTGAGTCGGCTGTTCGTTTCATGGTGTTATTTGGTCAGTTATATCATCTTCAAATTGTGACTGCCGGTCCCGCTATATCGATTTCACGTATGCCATTCTAGAAATAATTTGCATAGAAACTTTCCAGTCTTCTACTTAGGCCATATAATTTCAATTGCGAAACCGTGTGTTGTGTGCTTCTTTTGTTTTGAAGTTATTCGACTTCTGTTCCTTATTCAATCAAATGCGTGTAACGGACATGTAAAGGCTAGCTCCTCAGAAAAGTCACTTTAATATTGTGATAGAATGCACTTCAGTGGTTGGGCTGCAATGCCAACTCGGGTGACCGATTGTATACCATCATTCTAAAAAGATGCCCATAAAAACCGGTTTTCGTGAAAAATTGCAAAAGTAACCCTTTACCTCAAGTTTCTTTCATCATATTTACCCTTTCTTTTCGTCCATCCAATCCTCTTCCCCTCGCCTCGCCTCGTCCCGCCCGGCCCGGCCCCGCCCCGCCCCGCCTCTCTCTCTCTCTCTCTCTCTCTCCCTCTCACTCACGCACGCACGCACACATGCTTCCCTGTCCCAACGCGATAGATGGTGTGTGCGTGACCAGTCCAAACGGCTATTGCGTGGGATTATCACAACGACAAAAACGAATGCGGACCTCATTCAAGCACCATCAGTTGCGCGCGATGAAAGCATACTTCAATATGAATCACAATCCAGATGTGAAAGATCTCAAGGTGCTAACGGAGAAAACCGGACTGTCAAAACGTGTGCTACAGGTACCGCCTACCGAACGCATTCAGTCTATTTATTCAAGTGTTAGTTGGTCGGCATGACGCATTTATCATAATTCCAAGGTAGTGTGTGTGCAAGTATGTGTCACATTCTACCAAAATTAGTCAGTGCCACATCCCGATCGAATTGGGTTTGTAGATATTGTGTTTGGAATGCACCCATTTGATGCAGCACGTATCAATCTTTTCATTAACTCTCCGAAATCTAGTTAGTGATCTCACGATACAAACATACATGTACATCCAGATTTAAGGTGCTGTCCATGATTGTTCTGTTTCAAGGTTCGCAGACAGAGACGTTTCAATTAGGACTGTGATTCGTCTGAATGGGTACCTCTTTGTTGCACGACTAATATCCGCCTTGGCAATAAGATTTTACACAATCCTAGTGGAATTGATATAACTAAATATTCACATTTTCTGAGTGTATTTCTCTAAGTCTTGGGCCATTTGGTCCGGTTGACAACTTGATCACAAGCTGTGCTCCCATTTGTTTATTCTCTTAGTTTGACAGTTAACCGAATCGAACGCTACTCAAGCGTGTCTGTCCAATTCTCCGCCTTGACTTCCATCGCGTACATATCCATTTGGATTGTGAATCCGTTTCATGTTTTTTCTCTCTCTTCATTTCATATTCATCTAATATTTGCACTTTGCGCATCGATCAGTTGCGAGGTAAACGAGAGAATCGTATTTGTGTGAGACTATATAGGAGGACCATATGGGAAAGATTCAGATCAAGGGCTTTTCACGACCCGTGTTTGAAAACAGTCCTTTTCGAATTTGAAGTGCTATAATCACTTATTATCGTCTGCAACATTACTCAGTCAGATTAATCAGTCGCCCTTATGAGTACGGTATTGAATTTTTCTTTGAAAATGAATTCATTCTGAACAAACAATAAATAAGTCGTGATCATTAGATATGATGAGTTACTTATTCCAGGGCTTCGATTTCTAGGTGCCACGCACCCAAAATGTTAGAAGCTGTTGAAATTTATATTTGTTCAATCTACTGTTTGTGCGACGTAAGGAAATAATGCACACATAGTATACACCAATCAGCGATCAAGTGAGGATGATGGTCATCAACATGTCAATTTGTGTTGCATTCTCTACAGTAGTTCGGGTAGTGCCACTTCCTTGTCTCCTACCAAGCACCAATTAGTCACTTCCTCCGTCCGAAAAACTTTTATTCAATGAAAGGTTTTAACAATAAACATCACTCATTGCATATCGATCAAAGCAATTTTGATGAACATTTGGTGTGAGGAATGAAATATGACACAGACTACAGAAAATTTTCGAAAGTATGGTACAATTGTTATCACTAATCTTTTAGAAACCGTCACAAATTCACAGTCCCCTCTGAACCTGATTACGAATCCCTACGAGTGACTCCAGTTCCCGAGATTATTGTGAAGGTACATCTTACAATATCTTTATTCAACTTATGCAAATTCATATTACGCTGAAGCGTGTGGAGAATTCGAGGTAAGTGTAGGAGGAGTTAAGGATTTGTCATAGATCAACCCGTATCGGTTGCGATGACAGACGAAATGAGTCAGTTTACTTCATATCACATTGATCCAGCTTGCTGGTATTTTTCTTTGAGTGTGAGGGGTCGATTACCTGTTTAACTGTGTTGTGATTTGGCGTAACTCATAAAACATTGTCACAGTTTCTCAGTTCTTTTGTTTTGGTTTTGATGGGTGTCAAAGTATATTATTCCTTCACTTAAGTGATGATAATATACTAGTTGAACAAAAGAGAAATGCATACAGTTATTGCTTTCTTTATCAAATTTATCGAGCCTCAGTGTCTGTTCACGTTCTGATATTTTCCTCAGGTCTGGTTCCAGAATGCTCGAGCCAAATATCGCCGCAGTCTGCTTCGACAGGATGGACCAAACTCAAGTAATAGTACAAATGTGAACAGCAGCAACAACAACACCAACAGTAATGCCACCACCACCACCACCACCAACAATAATAATAACAACATTAACTTGATGTCCACCACTATCTCGGTCATAAACACCACAACTACGGCAAGCAATATCACAAGCAATGTGACCAATATAACTGCGAACGGAATGACCACATCATCCACAGGCAGTACGTCTGATCTTGCCCTTTTATCGAACAACTCACTATCGGATTGCGATAGCAAGTCGTCGCATTTCGATATGACAGAAGTCGGGAGTCATTTGTCACCAAAATCTCTCTATCCACACAACCACTCATTTATGACTGACGAGGGGACGGATTCCGCAATGGATTTGTTGGCTGAAATACGACGACCGCAAATGACTGTGAAAACGGACGATTCAGCGGGCATTTACGGTTTGGGACTGGTTGCCAGCCCCCCTTTGCCCATCGGATCCGCTTTGCCCTCGACATTCGAGGTTCAACGATCCCGAACACCAACGACAACATTCACTTTTATTTCATCGGGTTGCAGACAACGAGATTTGTGTACTCTTGGCAGTATTCATGGTTAGATCTTTTCTTCAGTCTTGACCGATCCTGTACAGCGCGACTGATTCCGGCAAGCACACATTCAGAGAGACAGACTTGTCAAAAAACCTCCCAATCTCTTTCACCCCATCTCACCACCACCCTCCCCCCCCCTCCAGACAACACATCTAAACGTGACCTGAGAGACCCCTACCGCTGAACTCCACCTCACTCAGTCAGGCATGTTTGCGGGACTACCTGGGCCAAATAACCTTGTTCTGCCTTCACACCCTATTTCATTTTGTACTATAGGAATGCAACAAATTTGTACCGAAAATGACTTGTACAGAATTATCATTATCATCATTATCTTTATTTATTTTTTGTCTTTCTCTCTATCCATTGTGACAAATGTGTCATGAAGAGTCAAAATGGGACTTGGCACAAAACTCATCTGAGGTAGGTGGGTGGGTGGGTGTGTAAAGAATTCCAATCCGCTGTTCGTGGCAAGTAGAAAACGCCTCGGTTGATTGACTGAGTGGTGATCGGGAGTCAATTCTCGGCCATACTATGTTATTCGTGTTCACCGAACCTGCTGAAAGACTCGAAACCGCTTACCGAGGACGTCAGATCTCAACTGTGGATAGCTCCAGTTGATTTTATACACTTTGGGAAATTTATCTTTACGTTAACTCCTTTTCATTTGGTTTACTTTTTTTGAAAACAATGCACTCTTTCGAGTCTAGTCGTCCTTTCAGTATCGACTGCAGCTGTTCAATCAAATAATCAACGTTACTTGACATTGCAGTATCTTTTGCGCTCATACCTCACATACTTAGTTCCGTTTTTCATGAATAAATGATTGGAAATCAGGGAGTCAAAAAGATCACTGGATTGTGCTGCTCATCTCGTAGTGAATAAGTTAAAATTAGGAATTAAAATCAATACTGTATTCATTCGTAACCAGTTTAACTAGTTTTTTCATTTCAATACAGTATTGAGCATTTTGGATTGAGCAGAGAAACTTCATTTGGAAAGATGTATGTTCATTGAAACCCGAGGTTTTGCAACCGTGACTCTTCATAGAGGAAGTTGTAATGGTAATCTATTCCGGATCCAGTCTGAAGTAGAACTAAGTCCGAACTCGCACATTGTATCTGCTGTGCATTTGTATGGAACTTGCATATCATATATAAATATAAATATATATCATATTATGTTATACCACGCACTTTGAAATGAATACTGTTCCGATTTTCTAATGCTAAAATGGACTGAAGGACAGTGTATTAAATCTAAAGCTAACGGTAAAATTTGTAGCTTGACATAGAATGTGAGTAGATAAATGCACGAGTTTCGCTGTTTGCGACACTGAGCTTTATCTCTCTCTGTTTCTAACTACTGATGAAGCCGACAACGGAATCCGCGAACTGGACGACCTATATACCCCGGTCCGCTAGTCAGGGGTTCCATTACATCATGTGGGTCCGAGTTTGACCACCACTGGCCTACCTGAATCTACCTCGAAAAATATCCATCTGTCTGATGAAATAGGTAAATTATGCCTCAGAAATTGTAATCTCTGGAGGTGAGGCACTTACGTAGGTGCGCGACCGCGGTTGAATTAAAACTCTGCGCTTGTCCGATTATCCTACCAGTGTCGTAGATTGTGGTGTAGATTCCGGTGTTTCAATATAATAATATTCCGTTTTGATCGTTCCCGTAACGACGATGTGTTTGCACCGTACGGTAACGTATTGCGTGTTCCGTGCAGACAGGAAGAATAGTGTGACTGTTCACATCTCACTGAATGTTTGGGTTGTTCATAATGGTTTGATTTTTTCGGTTGTCATTCTGTTGCTACAGCCCCGCCCCTCTCATGAAGTGCTTGTATACTAACGGTTCCTTGCTGTTCCGTCAGTCCGTGTTGTTCTGTTCACCTCGCATTGCCTCATGTAGCCGAGACTATGAACTGGGGGACATCCTGCTACACATTTTGTTGAACTGTGCTCAGCTTAGGGAGACTGAAGTGCATTTGTATCAGCTGAGTTTTATGGCAGCACATGCAGTGTTTCCAATTGGAAAACTACCGAGGGTTTCATGTGTTGGTATCACGTTCCACAGTGATCACTTGAGGATCAGGTTGGTTTCAAACATATTTGAAGCTCTATTGATCATATTTTTATTTCTTTTTTAAATTTTTTTATTTTTACCCCTGGTCAAATTTTCAGTAGAAAAACGGTAAAGAGCTATAGTGATTGAAACTAAAATAAGTTCTAAAAACAGCGTAACTTTATCTTCACATTCATAGTGCGTTGTATCCAAAATAATAAAGAGGGAACGGCTTTGTTACGCGAACTGAAATCACCCTAAATAATAACTATCCCGACCGAGTAATCTGAATTGAGGCTACATCCTTCGTGGATAAAATCCGTATGATTGAGAAAAAGGATGGCACGTGAATTAAAGTATCTCGTTTTGCATGTTTTTGGCAATGAAGCACAAAAAAGACTTGGGACAGTTGGTTTTTCACACACAAACATATCTGTTCTGTGTGGCTTGCCGAAAACACGAACCTGGTTCCCATACTATCCAACCTCCATGTACCAAACTAGCTAGATGTGTTCAAACTAGTTCAAAACCTAAACAGAGCACTATTACAGTACGGGAATATCAGCATAATTTTATGATCTTTACCCGGTTTCAATCAGATAAAATAATGTTTTCTTTCGATATGGCTTCTTTCTACATTCCTTTAAAAGAGATAACGGACATCATTTGGCACTTTATTTCACAAAATGCTATTCTAATTTTCTTCTCACTGGAGATTGTGAAATTTCTTTTCTTTATTTTATATTGAACATACTGATTGCCATTTCCAACAAAAGTCACTCAGACAAGGTCATGGAGGTGGGGGTGGGGGAGGGGGTTATGCAACAGCATTTTTATTTCCATTCCAGCTGACGTTTTGATGAATCTGTTGGGGATCATTCTGGCTGCCACGATTGAATGAACTTTAAGGTAGAAAATCATGCGATCATTGCAAACATGAACCAAAAATAAAAAAGAGGTATTTTTTAAAATGAAGTGAACCGAGCGGTGGAATTTACCCAGAATATCCAAATGTAACCAAAATTACAAAGTGTACCAAGCAGTTCCAAGCCGATTTTTGCAAAAATCAGCTTCCACCTGAACGCTTTCTGATGCGAGCCTGTTTCAAATAGCTAGTGTAAATTCCTCCCCGTTGAAGTCGCTTATACGCACCTTCGTCTACACACCGTTCGCATCACGTCATTTCAGTTAGGCTATGCAAATCAGATCAGTAGCTACATTGGTTTTCTGTTTCTTACCCCATCTACACGGAAACTGGCTGAAAGCAACGCCATGCGCTGAAATTGTTGCTTTGTCGATTCAACTTAGTTTGGTGTTCCTCGTCCATGTGACGCAATCGCCCGTTTCCGCCTCTATTCTGTTTGATTGCAGTACCTTTGCATGATACCCGTGTCTATCAGACCACACGTATTAACAACCGTAGTCTTAGGTGGACCTTTCAGATGCCATGTTCATATAGCAGGTGGATGAAAATTATGGTAATCTTACCGAACCAACGGATTGGTGGATCATATCAGCTTTTACTGGGATTCGAGCGGTCATTAATTGAGCATTCTCACGGTTTACCACGTCAGAAAACCACGGAAACCAACTGAAGTTATCAACTTGTGGGCATGTAATCGTTGCGATAGATCTGTAGTCGACCTAGTGCTTCAAATGCCCTGATACGGTCGAGAGTGGATAGATTAGGTTGTGACCGGTCGCCTTTCCCTTGAACCTCAGGAAACACTCCTAAACAAATGAACGTCTCAAATATGCCCTACAGAAGATGATCTAATCAGTTACATCACGCGGGTCTTAACAAAGGTATTTTCGTACCAAAATGAGGACTCAAAGTCAACATCGGGGCTATACTTGGGTCACTGAACCACTGGTTGTTCACCAATGGGAGTTTGTTAACAATCCTGATTCCAAATCAACCAAGAAGAGGTGTACAAACAGCAACTGCACATACCTAGTTGTGACAGCGGTCATCGGCTTGATTGGACACCTCGGACACCCCGCCGAAAGAACGCATGATCGGATAACCTGGACGTCGGTCCCAAATTGATTTCAGTTTTAATACATCGCCTCGCTGCCTTGCGAATTATACTTAAGCTAACCGAGTGCTCAGGTTGCGAATTCCCAAAGAAAATTTGCCTGATTTGGTCTGGGCAACTTGGCAATACTCTATCTACTAATAAGTCATAGATTGGTTTCATATTTATAAAGACTAATGTAACGCCATTTGTTTTTGGTAAACGGTCAGAATTATAACAAGTGTAAAATATAAGTGTCATAATTAGAATAGCACCACAGTAAAATAACTGTTGACTTCTGTAAAACTAATTCTGGCTGAAAGTTATCAATAAAAAGGAATAACCTGACGCACTGAATACTGTGATCATGAAAACGTATCACATTCGTGACATAATCATGTACTCATGATTGTAAGGTTCTCGGCCGTCCTTGGCTGCGATAACCTGATACATCACCATTCAAAACCATATCCTTGGGCTAGCGTGCTCCGTGATTTCATATCGCGGCACACATTATTGTGCCATATCCATCACCCTTGCATGTACGATTAGCCGCAGCGGACTAAATCGCCTATAAGCTCAGGATAAATTTTGGAATAGTTATGAATACACGATCGCCACATATTGTACAAAGTTTCCCAATATCAGTCATTTGTTTTTGTATTTTAACGGATATGAATGAGATAGTTGTTACAAAGATTGTTTACTGGGATCACTGGCAGCTGGTTCACAAATTAAGTGTAGAGGCCGTGAAGTGAGCAACAGACTCCACGATGGGGTTTAGTCTGGGAAATTGCCCTCAGAGATGCAAAATAGATATTTTTGGGTTGAATATATGTTGAAATTGTACACACAACAATAACAATAATAATAATAATCAGTAGGTTCACTACAGCTATATAATTAGAGCAGCT